CAGTCTGGAATTTATGACATCAGCCCATTCCAAAAGAAAAAACAAAAAACTACTGCAAGTATAACCAAACAGCAGCTGTTCAAGCAAAACATGTTTTGCACTGACCTCCAGGGTTTTCTCTTCCTTGGGGAAGTCTGGAGTTAAAAGGAAACTTTACAGAAACAAGAGTCTTTTACTGTACACAGTCTAGCTGTTAAAACTCGGTGAAGCACGCCGTGAAGCGGGGCAGGAGAGGAGGTCCAGGCAGAGCGTTGATCACTGTCTGATTGGATTGTGGGGGCCGTGTTGAGATGCAGAGCTGTTACATAAAGCCTGTGTTGTGTTCGTTATGTCATGAAGTTTGGCAATGCAGCTCAAAGTATGAATCAGAGTCCTATCAACCCACTCGCCCACCCCCCTGCACCATGGCTGTCAAATCCCCTCAACCTCAGCTCAAATCATCACCATTTACTAAAAAAAGTTAAATCCTTTGCACAACTATTTTTAAAATAAAATCTAGAGTGAAATTCATCTCTGGTTGTGGGTGTTGTTTTTCATGGGTTTGATTATATTTTCTAATTTTAAAGCCAAGAAATCGGGATCTAATTTTAATACTTTCGCCTTCAGAGGAATCAAAATACAGAAGACTGCTGGAGCTTTAATTAAAAAGGGAATGATTGGTGTTTTAGCGTTTACCTTCATGAAAGTCTACTCGGAATGGTTGAGATCAAAACTGAAGTGTATCTACACCGTGCACTGATATCCTATGGCTGATATTTATTGTAAAGCTGTAGTATGTAAAGTACAGTATTTTTCGGAGTATAAGTTGCACTTAAAATCCTTTAATTTTCTCAAAAATCGACAGTGAGCCTTATAATCCGGTGCGTCTTATGTATAAATTCTGGTTGTGCTTACTGACCTCGAACAGATTTTGTGACACAGCGCTCAAAAATCTGTTAAAATGAACTTGTATCGCTTAATGCGCCTTATAGTCTGAAAAATAAGGTACTCCTGGCTGAAAAAACGAGAAATCGAGTTACGCTTTTACTCATAGGTGTGAGACAATGTCTTCATTTCTAGTGAAATTATGACAAATGCATCAGCACAGGTACAGAGCATTTAAGTGACACAAAAAAAAAAAAATCAGCATATTCTCATTAACTTGTGATTTTCCTCAAAGTTGTACACAACACATCAAAAAAGACAAAGTAGCACTGATATTATTATAATATACTGAATATGACGCTCAGCAACAAGTTAATTAAAAAACAACTTTTTGGGTAGATTTGTGAAAAATTTACAGAGGGTAAAAAACTATTTGATTAAGTTTCACAACTCAGAAGCCTTGGTAGCCCCCCCCCCCCCCCCCCCCCCCCTCGAATTAACATCCTCAATCTCCTCAAGCGCAGCTAATCTGGATAATGAGCAAAGAATTAATGTGGTGCTGTCAACACTTCAACACAAAGATGGAGGAAAAACACAAAATTTAAGACAATGTTTTAAAGCCAGGGTTCTGTAGACTCATTCGCCCAAAGAGCATCCTGATGTTTCTGGTGTAAATAAAATCACTCCCAACAGAAAGTTCATTTAACTGAAAAACTCAACGCTACACCCAAACTAAAGACCGGATGTAGAACTGCAGGAGCAGCTAGTACATGTGACGTGTTGACTGACCCGTGATGTTCAGGGACCAGGCTCTACCGGACTCTGAAACTGTAAAGACTTATTTTTAAATAATAATTTCTTTCAGCTGCTCTTTCCTGCAGGGGCTGCCGCAGCGAGTACCGGCGCAACGATTCACGTAAGAGATTTGGCATTTGTGCTTCACCAGATTATAACTTTTTTTTTTAAACACATGAAGGATGGAAAAATGAAAATCTGCCTAATTGTTTCAACTATGAAAGTTGTTGTTTGGAGTCGAGTGTTGCAAGACACCAACATGAATCTAATCGCTCCGCAAATCATAAAAGACAAACCACAACATGCAAGTCCTGTACTATTAAAACTAACAGGTAGTTTCAGTAAAAAACAAAAAACCAGAAGGGCCAGAATGGTTGTATGGAGCTCCAAGTAGAATTTGACCAAGAGGCCACCCCGTTTCATCAACGCCCATCATCTACTCACCACCTCAACACTTATGAACTTATATTAATCACAATAGTGTGAATGTTTAGGAAGCATTCACACTATTGTGATCCATTTTTCTTCTGTACATTTTTCGGTGTGATTCTCGTCCCGCAGTTTAAACGATTTCAACAAGTCATAAATCAAAACATTCAGCTCTTTCAGGACAATCCTGCTCTGACTTTTGGTATTGGTGCAACTTTAGCTTTTGGAAATATTTAGTCTTTTCTGCCATTTTTTTTTTCCTCAGAAAATGAATTGAGCTCATTTTCCATCCTTCAGATCGGTTTACAACCGTTCAGCTTCTTTCAGCTTCCTTGAGCAAATTTAAACTTTTTTTTCAGCACTTTCAGCTAATTTCAGCTGTTTTGTGCTTTTTTCAGATTATTTATGCTAACTACATTTTTGTGCTTCATCTAACTTCTTTCTGCTAATTTCAGCTATTTTGCTCCTTATTTTAGTTTATTTCCACAAGTTTCAGCTATTTCTGCTATTTCAGCTACTATGTAGCTGTTTTATGCTAATGTGAGTTTTTTTCAGCCAATTCTGCGTTTATTGCATTCATTTTAATTTTTTTCAACCCAATTCAGAAAAATGTGCTCGCCACACTTCCTTCTTGTAATTTAAGCTTCGGTCTGCCTTTTTAGCTACTTTTCAGCTATTGTTGCTCATTTCAGCATTTTCAGATAATATCCACTTTTTTGTGCTCATTTCTGCGTCTTTCAGCCAAACTGGGCAAACTTGTTCTGCTTTCTTCTGCCAATTTAAGCTTGTTCTAAATTTTCAGCTACATTTTTAGCATTTTTGTAGCTAATTTCAGCTGTTTTCTGATAAACTGAAGTTTTACATTGTAATTTCTGCTACTTACAGCCTAACCAACTTCTTTATGCTAATTTCATCTCGTTATGCTCCTTTCAGCTTTTTTCTGCTAGTTTCAGCTTTTTCTGATTTTTAGCTACAACTTAGCAGTTTTTATGCATATTTTAGCTTTTTCAGCTAACTCCACATTTTTTATCTCATTTCAGCCCTTTCCACTTCCTTCTAGTAGTTTAAGCTTCTTTCAGCATTTTCAGCTACTTTTAAGCAAATCTTTGCCAAGTTCAGATTTTTTTAAGCTAATTTCCTAATTTTTGTGCTTATTTATGCTTATTAAAACCCAATTCAGCAAATATGTGTTCTGTATTCTTCTGTTAATTTAGGCTTGTTCTTCCATTTCAGCTACATTTCAGTATGATTTTAGCTAAATTCAGCTGTTTTTCAGCAAGTTCTGCAATAAGCATTCACACTGCATTTTCACAGGAAATGCAACATCTCTAGTTTCTTATCGCTCACCAACAGAAGAGAAAAGGCACCATCGTTTGCGCTTGCATCACTGTGTGTTTGTCGTGTTAGCAAAACGTCTCTACTGAAGAGATTAATGAAAATTAAATCACTGGAGATGTTATTGCAATTGACTTCGATACCTTAACAGACATGAACTAAACCCAAACTGGCTGGAGCACGGCCCGTTTTATAAATATTGAGCTAAAATAGTATCCGTCGTCACCAACACAGTGTGACTTGTGCTTTAATATTAGTGAAGTCAGTCGTGTCCGACAGACACAGACCAACACTGCACAGTACACCACTCGGTCTGTGAGAGGCTGATTCTGCTGGGTGACTCCAGATCCTTGTGTGCAAACAATACGCAGACTTCTGCTTCCACGCCTGGTGTGCATCGTTCAGTTCAGGCTTTAGAAAGAAGTCAGACATTATCATGGTGTGAAACTTGGAAAAAGGGGTTTAGATAAATGAGAAATATTAGTCGTTTTAAAAAGACGGCTAGTTTGTGAGCTGTTGCACAAGAAACCATTTTATTTTTTCTGTTTCTTTAACCTTTATTTAACCAGGCAAATTCCACTGAGGTCACTACTCTCTTTTGCAAGGCGGCCTGGGCCTGAAGGCAGCCCATGCTTTGGTCTGTGGAAGGAAACATGCAAACTCCACCCAAATACCCACGGCTCAACCTGATGCTGGTTTTAAATCCTTTTCTTCATTTGGAACTCCAGATTTCTGACGCAAATATCTTAACTAAATGTTCAAATGAAATATATATATATATATAAAAAAGAAGTTATTTCCCCTCTTCAAGTTCAAAGGTCAGTTTTTGGTTATGGTGTTTATGAAAAACAAAAATGGACAAACACCGTCTTAGTTGAAGTGAAGCAGAAGGTTTGGATAATTCAACAAACTGATCCAACATTAGTTTTAAACTACACTCTTTCACCACGAAATATATTTATTCTCAACCATAAAGACGAAGCATTTAAACCAATTACTTATTAATTATAATTTTTATGAGTTCACTGCTCATGGAGACATTTGCGCATTAAAAAGCTTTTATAAAAACATTCACTGCACCAGTAGAAGCTGCACCAGTATAAAGCTGCACCAGTATAAAGCTGCCCACTGGTTCACGCGCAGCCTGTTCCATTATTAAAAAGCTGAAATCATATTTCCCAGCTCTGCCACTATAATTTCCCAGTTGCAGCTCGGAGTGGGCGGGTTGTTTCCGACGGTCCACTCTGGAAAGTGAAGCGAACTTTTGGCAGTGACAGCCCGTCAGCTGCGCCACGGAACCACATGGAGGCTGAACTCCGCCTGAGCCTTTCAACTCCAGCACACCAGCCACGTAAGCATCTCCATCTCCACTCCATCCGGACCGAGTCAGAACCCAAACCGAACCAGAACCACCAATAAAACGCTGTTTCGGAGCGCGTGAAGCCTACAGTGACTCCTCGGTGTGGTAAAAACAAAACTTTTGACAAAACAGCAGAAACCCACCGGCTCAGCCAGTTTAAAGTCCACGTCTGCCAGTTCACACACATCCTGAACAACCGAGCCAGCCGCGCACTCACCGATGATAATAGCGCACGCGCTCATAAGTCCAATCTCTTTTTTCAGAGTGACTTTGTCTTCGTTGGCGTTCTCATCTTTCCTCCTTTCCTCTTTGTCATCCATCTCCTCCGTCCTGTGAAAGGCGCTTCCTCTCCGCCTCGGTCCGGCTCAGTTAGTGCACGCTGAACCACGCGCAGCTCTCCCGGGCGCCCCTTAAAATACAACCCGCGGAGGAGGCAGTGCGCATGCGCAGCCTTTACTTCAGGTGGGTCAGGAGAAAACACCTGAACCTGCAGCGGAGAGGTTAAACAATTACTTCCTGTTTTTTATAGGTTCAAAACAGGAAGTAATTTGAAGCCTGCAAGCTCCAACAAGTTTTTAAAGCATTAAAAACTTGCAATGCAAAATAAATAAACCTAACAATTAAAATGATCTAAGCCTGAAAAGAAGTTGCTTATGTTGTTTATTTGTCATATGCAGGTTAAGGGGAAATAAATAAATAAATAAACATAAATACATAAAAATAGTACCAAAAAGTGAAAAGAAATATATTTACAAGGTCCAAAAGAAATATAGTAAACAACAAAATGGTATAATATAACGGTGCAGGTATGAATTTGTATGCGTAAGTATTTCACAAGTGTAACCGGTCCCACCTGTGCGTTGTGTTGATTTGATAAGAATCAGGCCGTGACATGGTTTGCCTTGGGTGTGGTTGGTCTCCCCATTATTCTCTCTCCCCTAGGACAACTGACAAAAAGACAAATAAAAAAACAACCACATTATCGCTGCCCGCTCCTGTCCTCTCCCGTAGGACACATTACAAAAAGGGCACGAACAATCTTGCAAAACAAACTAATAAATTTAACTTGTTATATACATAACATACCTGATGAATAAAACAAACAAAAACACCCACATTACAGGCTGCCCACTCCAATCACAAAACAAAACTAAAATCAATTGTTGCTATTTTACAATCACAAGTTATAAAAGACATTTTGCGTAATTATAACAAAATATAAACACAACCCGGTTACATAAGCATAAATGCACATGATCTATATTGCACATAACTAGCATATACTACAAAGGTTGTGTGACAGATTATTGCACAGGTAGTGAGTAACATTGAGATTTATTGATTTATGATGGTATGGTAGTGACATATGTGACATACAAAGTACATGATATATGACATTCATGACATACATGCATGATACAGCCACATAGTGCAGTAGCAATAAACATATTAGGTGTCACAGCTGTCCCTAAAATGCAATTATTTGAGGATTTAATAAGTTAGGGAAACTATCCCAACTCAAATACTTTAAATAAGACATTAAATGTATTTCAGTTCATATAAAGAAACTTTTTATTTTTATTTTGCTAATGTTATGGCTTACAGCAGAACTCCCCTCAGTGCTGTGAACCTCATTCCTTTTTAAAAGTACACAAGCATTTAATAAAAACAAGCTGTGAAGGTACAACATTATGAGAGTTTTGAACAAAGGTGAGCACACCTGACATCCTTTTGCAGCAATTATGGAAACATTACCGATCACAGTTTTCTGGCTGATCTCCGATCACGATTTCTAAAAAGTCGGACCTGTCGATTCTGATTTTGGTCGATACCGATTTTGTTTTAAAGCGACAGTCAGGTGTTATTAGGATATAATGTACCTTCAATTTGCCAATATTATTTTGTTGAAAAACATACCCTTGAACAATAACCTAGAAACAATACAAACTTGTTTTAAGTGGCCATGAGGTAGTGCTCTGAAATATAAATGACGTTTAGACAATTGTTGTTAAAACTAAAAAATCGGTAAAATCAGTTTCTCATGCAAGTATCGTCCGATTTCCGATTTCCCAAAATTAAGGAAATCGGGGCCGATTTATCGGTGCACCCCTAATTACTACTGTTGGCTAAGTAGAGCACTTAAAAAGAAGCCTCCAGCTTTCACGATGGTGTGTGAAGTGTTGTGGCTTCACAATCAAGATGTTGTAACATCCACATGTTCATAGAAACAGTAAAAGCAGTAAGCGTGTTACATTTTAAACTAGCCACAGCATATCGAGCACGACTATACAAGTAAGCAACATGAGAAAACTCAAGCCAAACATCTTATTGTCACTAAAGACCTTTTTTTAACTGAGCAAGAAAAGACATTGTTTCAAAACATTTTGAAACCACCACCTAGCATATCAGAACATATGTATCCAAAAGTGTTCTCTCTCTGGATAACATCGATTTTACATTTGGAAGGTTTAAAAAAAATGTCCTGGCACATTTACAGTTTTACTTTGTTTCAACGTTTAGCAGCTTAGGAGATCCAAAAGAATATTGTCCAGATGACGTTTTGTCCCACTGTTTTGTTCCGTTGTGTGTGAGAAATTCATATTTTCTGTAACAACCACTAACACATGAAATGACTACTGGTTTAATCCTCAAAGCACCTTAGGAGACCAAACATGTACATTCAGCTTATTTGCTATTTTTGGATTGTCAAGGTCAATGTGTTTATATAGCACATAAAAACAGCAAAAGCTGACCAAAGTTATTTACAATGAAATCAAATTAAAATGAAAAACCAAAAAAGAAAATACATCTTGTGCGACTTGGGAACCACAAGAAAGTTTACGGTAAAATACAACACACAACTACAAAGTACAAGACACATCAGGTCTAACTGGTTCTCAAGCGACAAGACAAGACTTCACACAACGAGTCTTAATTGGAAGAAACTGGATTTCACAACTGCATTTATCCGTTTGTCTAATTTAAAAACACTATCGAAAATAACCCCCAGATTCCTGACGGTGGAGTGGCTGTATGAAGCCGAGGGCCGAGAGTGTCAAGTGACATTTTTATTTTATATTGATTCTAAATATATCAGTCAGTTTAAAAACTAATTTCATGAAACTTGGCCAGGATTTGTATTTTAATATTATTTTTTTAATTTTCATGACCCCTCTATTGTAAGGTGTATAGAATAGGAGATCTGCACAAAACGTAGTCTTTACCATCTTCTTCCTTTCTGGGTCACGAGGGTCACCGGTGCCCATATTCAGCAGCCACTGTGCAAGGGGCAGGGGACACCCTGGACAGGTCACAAGTCCATTACAGGGACACATAGAGACAAATGAGACAAACAACCCTAAGGCCCTATTTGGTCCCACTGACTCCCATTATAACCACATATTGCTGTAGTCCTGACATAAGAAAATGCTGTTTTCATGGATACTTAATAAATCTAAGCGTCTACCTTCAAATTAACTGTAAAATAGGTTTTAAGTGGGATGACCCCCCCCCCCCCCCCCAACACACACACACACACACACACACCAACCCCTTCACACCCTCCTTACATACTGTTGCATTGGAGGCCTGGTGTTCTTATCTTGCAAAATGCATGGAGGTACAAAAAAAAAATCTGAAAGCATCAAAAATGGCCCTGGTGAGCTGGGATTGATATAAAAGAGTGGTGTGAATGTTGTTGAGAACATAGTTTGTGTGTGTGTGTGTGTGTGTGTGAAATTTCAGTCGCCAAAGGCCAAAAGGACTGTTTTTTTTTAAAGAGAGAGCCTCCTTACTCCAACTGGATATGTGGTGTAACATGTTTAGACAGGTGCATGTTTTAAAGTTTACAAGAGTAGTTTGCAGCCTTGTCTGTCACTTGTCCAGCAGACAGCCATGATGAGAAAACCTGACAGTAGAGGAAGTGCTAGCTGCAGTTTTGCAGTCATCTAAAGAGAGTGAGCAGGATGAGGAAGATGTTAGCAGCGAAGAGTCCACTGAGGGCCAGGAAGGATCAGGGGAGGAACTTCGGCCAGTCACAGAGGGGCCTTGCCAATTATTCCACTTTGCCAGTATTTTTGAAAATACTGCATATTTTGTATTTTTCCGATAGGAAAAAAAATCAAGGGTTTTTATGACAAAAAATTGATAAAAATGTAAATAAATAAATAAATAAATAAAACATTGAAAAATAATAATAAACAACTTTATATTGGCCTATTTATGTCTGAAGTTGTTGAAAAGATTTGATGTTGTGGAAGTACGTAAAAAAAATACATTACATTTTTATTGAACTTTTATCAGAGGGCCCATTTTGGGCCCAAATATATTAAATGTATAGTCATTTTAAAGGTGCGTCAAGGATTAAAGTGGTGGAGTTTAATCTGCCCTTTGAAAAAAAATAAAAATCAGATTATAAAGTCTGCTGAAAGATACTCTGTTCTGCATCGTACTTTGTTGGACAAGCTCAACCAAGGAAAAGGACCAGTGCATGCTATAGTATACTATTTTGTGTGTTTTGTAGTTTTTCCAACCTATTTTCAAAGGCTTGCTTCGACTTGCCGGACTACAGATGTAAATCAGATCTTAGCTACATAAATTCTTAAAAGATATGCTGTCCGATCAAAGTGAAAAACCCTAAAGAGTGAGCATTCCTTGAAGAATATGCATATTCCCCATCGCCTTCAAACTCATCGACTTACGATGAGAAGGGTCAGCGTTATTGCCGTTTCAGTCATACCTTGGAAATGCTTGATCTCATATTGGCAGTCGTTGTCATCCATCCAGTTACATTTGAGTTTTATTTGTTTAAAAAATATACCCATTAAATCATGAGATATTTTGCTAACAGACAAACACAATCATGTTTGTCTTTCTACCCTTATTACGACATTGTATTGGCCTTCATTCATTTCTGTAGCCTAACCAAGACCCTGACCCTAAACCCAACCATTACCAGAACATACCTGATCTTATTGTTTTATTTTTGTTTGTAATTCTTGTGTCTTACTCTTTTATCGGTGTACAGCACTTTGCTCAGTGGTCTGAGCGTAAAAACCAACATGGCAATCAGAGAAGCAGGTGAAGCAGCTGCAGCAGCTGCTGCTCCCCCGTTTCTTGAACTGATAACATCCTTCCTTTATAAAAGTTTTGTTTTGAGGTATTATTTGTCTTCATGAAGACCTTTATGACAGTCAATGTTCTAGAAATTTGAGTTCCTGTCTAAACATGTCAAAAACGTATAGAGTTCCTATAAAAAGACACCTGGGTTTGAAACCCTAGAAATAATTTACCTTGTTCTATACCTCAAGGGGGAAACTGACTTTTTTTCTGTCATTTCTCCATATTTGGTTATCATTTCTGGACCTGCACCTGTTAATAAAGTGTTTACTACTTTGTTTTAACAAGCGCACAGTACCATCATCTGAAAACATTATATAGTCCAT